GACTTTACCGAAATAACCAGATAGTAGTTTCAGCCGTAATTCATACAGTGTATGCGATATTGTAAACATGGTGGCATCAAAAAATTATGGGCGCAAGAGTGACTTTAAATTGGAAAATTGTGTTAATGCATTAGCTCGTGGCTTGACACTACTGTCCTCAAGAAATTGAGATCACATTGGATATAGATCCGAAAAGTATGAAACCGAACGAAGTCTCGGCACATTCACAGCGATTTCAGATGTTGTTCAGTTTTACTCCGGCACGGCGTCTGTGCCGTGGGTGGTCACGCGGTGAAATAGTCTGTCTCGTAGGGTTGTGAGTTTGAGGGTAATCGTCAGAAATATTTAATACAATAACTTAGGCTACCATAAATGTGCACGAGCAGATATTCTCCGAACAAAAAAAAGCACTGTTGACTATTGCCTTCACATGCAGTTTGTTCCGGACTCTTAAATTCATTAACGGGGCTAAACTGCATTGTCTCAATTTCCCTTCACTCAAGAGAAGTATGTAATGATAATAACTGTAGCTGTTGTAAGCTAGACGTCTCATATTCTGTCTCCCCATATAAACTAAAAAATACGCCGTTTGGCTCTGGAAAGCCAAGACTATGTTATCAAGCGGTCTTTGGTGTTAAGTCGGCAAAATCTGAACCGGTTTCAACCTTCTAGGTCTCATCAGCAGAGTCACTGCTTGTTGAACAAACCCTGCTGTGGATCCCAGATTTTATTGGCAAGAGTTTTGTGTGTTCACTAGCTACGGATGAGAAAGTTTAAATTAAACCCCCCCAAAAAACCCCATCCAACGGGCACGAAAAAAGTCACATCTTTTTTTAAATACTGTTCAATAACAACTCGTTTCCTCCGTCTCACTTTCATTAATAACCCGTGCACAAATCAAAACGCGCTTGTCAATCCGCCAAGCAAGCAGACTCTAAAATTGCCCAACACCTGCCCAGTGTGGAACTATAGCAAGGTGTGGCGGTTGCAATCTCATCGAAGAGTGCGCCGACTCCTCGCGCTTATTATCTTACTCCTGTTCTTGCAGGTGTTACTTTTATAGATAAAGGTAAATGTACAGGGTGGGCGTGGGAGGTAGGTGCCAGACCTGATGGTGACGGCTGTTGCACTTTATACGTTGGTGTCAGATTAACACGTGGCGGAGTTCACGTTTTGCATCACCTCCCCTTGCTGCTGTTCTGCATTTAAACGTTATTTTTTTCTAATTTGTCCATGCCGTTTACACGTACGGGAGAGCCCAAAGACAATTAACTTTGTTTCGAGAAAGATTGTGAGAAATCTGTACTTTTTGCTTGCAAATGAATCAAGTATGTCATGTTTTAATTTTCGTAGCATTTGAATTGAAAAATCCCCCACGTGCATCATTATGGCCGTTTTCAGTGCATTATGGTATGTGAGTGTAAGGCCCAGAGTGAACGGCAATGCAATTTAATACTTTTTTGAGTAATGATAGCATTAAGAATATGATCGTACCTCAAATATTGAGTCACCTACATTCTCACTATTTGCCAATGTTCACAATTTGCTTAGTTCGAAAGTTGGTTACTCGGTACATTTCAATAACATTCACCGAAGCTTTATATATAATGTATATAAAATCGGGCTTAAAGGGTCCTTGCATAAACAGTTGGCACGAAGCGCAGATATAATTTAGGCTTGCTTGCACTTGTATTTACGTAATATGTGCCAGTGTATTCAATGTATAATATTGGTATATTAATGGTGAAACTGGTTTAGAGGGAAGCTGCAGAGGCAGAAACTTGCAGACTTTAAATTGATTGGCAAGCGCCCACGACTCTTTGGCAGAACTTACGCGTATACAATGCGCGCATACGTGTAAGTAGAATTACCATGAGATACGAGATATTTAGTAGTTTTGGCATCAACATGTTTTCATAGTTTGCAACAACGCAAAAAACAGGGAATTAAATTGACGCCGAGAGAGAAAGATACATAAGTTTTGTTTTACGTTTAATCAAATCGACTTAAAATTCAAGGCAAAGCCGCGTCTGTCAGAATTTTAATTTGCTTGTTTTTGGTTGAGCTGAGAGTTTGTGGTGTTCTTATATATTTGCTTGTACGTTTTATTGCGTTAAAGACCTGTGCACAATGCTCTTAACTGTACCCCTCCCCTAAGCTTGGCTGTCAGTGCATATTTATTATTATTCGACAAAATCTTGCAGGAATCATGTACTGTGTTCATAATGATTTGTGAATTAAAGTTGTGTGTTCTACGTGTGTGGGCCGAGTTTGCTTGGCTTTTTTTTCTCCAGAGCAAATATTTATATTTTTGTTCATCGCCTGCACGCAATGTGGGTTAGCGCACGTGGTTGTGCCGGCCCGATATTGGTTCTAGAAATTTGCCGCTGTGCATCGGCGGTGGTTTGGGGTTGCAGGGCAGCCAGGTGGAGAAAAGGGCACCCAGGGCAGCCAAAGAGAGGGCCGGCTTTCATACAATAAACCTTGAATTTTAATCAAAAGGAAACATTTGCATATTACACACTGTTTGAATAAATAAATACATAATATTACTTTGGTGCACAGTGTTCCGTGTTTGACATATTCACGAAATGCCAACAAAGACGAGCCTTTTTGAGACGGCACAAGCCTGGTGGCTCCGACGACTCAATATTTCACATCAGTTTTCAGAAACCCCGCAATGTAAACAAAACTAAAAGAGCATTTTAAATCATACATATATATTTTTTGTGGAATCTGTCATGGCAGGGGACTGTAATATCGGGTGCAGTTTGATAGGAGGAAAAAGTGGAGGCAGTGTGAACGATTTGAGAGTTACCTCTTGTTTACTCGTGAGGCCGTATGATGTTTCTCGCAAAGCGGACCTGCGAACAGCCAATTTCCCTCTAATACGACACAGCATGCCGACTTGTCTCTCCCGCTGAACAGTTGGTTTGGACTGGCGCATTAAGTCCCTTCGGGTAGGTTATTCTAACAAAAGAAAATATAAAACCTGAGAATCACGCACCTGTAATTATTTGTTAAGAATTAGTGCGTTGCATTGTGAATGGATTGCAAAAGAAGAGCTAACGGGATTTACAGTTAAACGTTTTTCTTACAGTAACGTTTAACTTCACCCGAAAATAAACCACGAGTGCTATTTTTGAAACCGTATACTGCGCTTAAGAGAGTTCGAAAAATAAAGGGACTTTTGTTGTTGGATTATTGGTCTGCCCACTCGGTGTCAAAGCCTGACAGCTTGGAGGCCGTAATGCAATCAAGGCCGTGGTACTCCAAGATAAATTATTCCGATTTTTCAACGATACACGTTTTTAAACCGGTAATTATATTAATAATCGGTTACCAATTCCGCAATGTCAGAAACCACTCACCGTTTGCGGTGAAGGATTTAAGAACTGAGAGCGCTCCGATGGCACCAACGTACAAACAAGCACGGCTCTCGCTTATAAGGCAAGAGGTGCACAGCCTCCCTTTGCGATGCTTTGCTCATGCCACTGCTCGCAGAAAGGGCATCGACTTCGTGATTCTACTCTTCTACCCTGACACACTGGCCATGTGTGTTCGAAGAAGCGGTCGGCGTACCCACACTTTGCCCCACTACACTTTACCGGTCACTTTACTTTAACTGTGCTATTGCGCCCAATTTATACTGCTGGCTGGCGAGATGCGTGGGATTTCAAAAATTTGCACCATTATTTCGGCTGCCGTGGCGTGAGATTCAATCGAGCCAGAGAAACCTCTGGGATTACAAGTCCAGTGTGCTGCTATCCATTACAGCACCGTGGCAATTCCCTTCGGTTTTTATCCGTTACATTAAAAAGTGAAACGTGGAATGTTTATTGTTCGAGATATTTACATACGTGCCGGGAAAAAAATAAGAAAGTACCCTGGCTAATTTACCCACTTTCTTTCATGCGATAACAGCCCGAGTGCAAAAAAAATCTATTTTAACAACCCTAATATAATAATAATTGGTTTTTTACCCTTCTATCTGGCAACAAAACTGACACCTTTTTACAAGGAGTCATGTTTGCATAGACCGCAATACCTGCAGTCATAATACAAACAAAAGAACATAACTCTGATAATGTGCACTGTCTTTGAAGTTGATTGGTCCACACCCGAGACAGCTTTCCTTAGAGCCTAGTCTCACATGGTGTTGGACCAGATGATGCCAACCCTAATATAAATCAAGCATTTGCATTGCAATGTTGTGCATGCGACCCGATGCGGGGGCGGGGGTGAAGTTATTGTTTGTATAAAACCCCCCAATGCAAATGTCAACTGGATATAACCAGAAGCTTGCAAGCAGAAATGTGTTCTTGGCTTCCGAGTAGAACTCGACAACAAGTTGACAAGCCGAGGCCTTGCCACCACTTTCTTGCTCGCATGCCACGGTGCGGCGCAGGGAGGGGGGGGTAGAGACACAGAGTTGTTTACTATTAACACCGAACACAGCGCGCTATTGTGTCTTGCGATACACATCAATGAAGGCTTTGTCTTGTATGTTATTTCGAATCAAGTATAAACTCGGGGTTTTTTTCTGGGCCCAATAAAGAACAGTGCAGCATGGAGGATTTTTTTTCTCTTTCTGATAACAATCGGGCCACGGCGAGGCATCAGCTCGGAATCTTCATGGGGTCAACCGCCACGAATCGATTTCATTTTACAGTATATATTTACTTTAGACGCCGACTACTGTTGCGTCATAACCAGACAAGTTGGTCAGCAGGTTGATTATGAATAACATTGGTCGCGAAAGCCTACGTGTCAAGCAGGTTGTGTGTGTGTGGTGGTGTAAAGTGTGGGTAAGCTCACCTCTTCCATTAAGTCTCGCCAGCGTGGAGGGAAAAAGTCGGTCCAAAATATTATCTGTATTCGGCGCCCTCTCGTGGAGGGCCAGTCCGTCAACAATTAGTGAGCAAGAATTTGCAAGGCTGCGCCTTTGCCTCGACGACCGGCTTTTTGTACGACAATGAAATGGCACGCGAACACAGGGATTAAAATGCATTGACAAAAATAACGAATTTATTTGAACTTTTCCCACATCACATTTACTTTACAAAAAAACCCGTCAAATGTCAAGTAGTAGTCGCAATCGCAGTTGGACGTGTGGCCTTCGGGCACTTTTCAATTCCTCTGCCATGTACGACACAATATCCGTGAACTAAAATCAGGTTGTTAATTTCTTCAACATCAATTTAAAACTCGCCATACGTTACATATTAAAAAAAACACTAAGATATTACATAATAACGGCGCAACGTAAAACCCATTTATAAAACAAAGACGGAAGCGCTCAAGCCAACGGGGTCAGGATGCACTGAATTTAGCTGACTCGTGTGGGCACAGGTGTCAGGGCTTTTTGGGGTTGAAAAACATTCGTAGACTTGTTGTTGTTGCTGTTGTTAACACTGTGACCAAGTGTCAGAGGAGCGAGCCAGCATCGCCAAGATTCTGGCTGGCATCTTTGGGATTCAGCCACTCATTAAAATGCCTTCTCAAGTGCATTTATACAGTGATGGCCGCAGCCCGGTCACAAACGACAATAAAATATAACCAAATAATTAGGTCACAAGCGTATGGGAAAAAAATACCCCGTGCTGCATTACATACATTTAAAAAAAATTAACTTGGCTAAATTCCAGCATTGATGCTTAAAACTATTTCTTTTGGACATTATAACAATCACTAAATTACAGGGTAGTATAAAACGTGTGCCTCTTGTGGATAGAGGCCCAATTGATGGGGCTTCAGTGAGCGGATTTCATAAGGACACACACACACGCGTTTTTTTTATTGAACAGACCACCATAGGTTAGATGGAGTGCTCTTGCCAATTACATCTGGTAACCCAGCAGCAAATGCTGATTAAACCCTGACACGTTAGACCGGTCCAGAGATTGTTTCAACAAACAATTTTCTTGCTGCACAATATTGATCTGGAAAAACAAACGCGATGACCCACAAGTAAAAAAGATATAGTTGAATGTGGAGACACCTAATGGAGTTTTGCTGGCATATGGAAACTTATGAAGTACTGTAGTTCTGTGACGTGGTCTTCCGGGAACATCCTCAGTCACAGAGTGGTGCAAGAGGGTACTATTCTCAAGACAATGCCGCAGACAGCACAATTGTCATGTCGGAGAAGACATACATTGTTCAGCACGCAAGAGCACTCATCAACGATGCAGAAACAGGCTCACATTTTTTTTCACGGAGCTGTTTTTGCCTCGGCTCATTTGCAAAATAAAAGTTATACATTTATTTTTAAAAATGGGTTAAAATGTGCCTCTCACCCTTGATGTTTACTTCACACACGCACACTGTATACTGGATTTGTGTTAAGCCAGTAAAAAAACATGGGCATGGCAAGGCTTTTGATTGCTGAGTGCGATCCTGTGTCCAGACTTTAATCCCCTAAGGTACAAGTCGACCCGAGATAGGGTTGTGTTGTTGCACCCGGCTGTGGTCTGATGCTAATGGGCACAGTGTGCTGTCGACGAGCAAAATTCACGCAACATTTTTTTCTCTTCTACCCAAGTGGGACGCTCAAAAGCAATGACATGGACGCTGCCGTATGTCGGCACACTGGACTTTCAATCCAGAAGTCATCGCGAATCGATCGGTAGGTCACGAGTGGGGGGGGGGGGGGTAAACGCGTGGGGACTCCCACCCATTTCAAAAAGTGAAATGAATGTTTATTTGTTAAACAGAAAAAAATGGCTGCCCAGTGGTGGAAGATTTGGTCAAATACCCTCCCGAGAGGGTCTTTCTCTAGCAGCCCGGCAATTGCTCGCTCTCACCGCCGATGGCAAAGAGGTTCTCCACACGGGAGAGGGGCTCTCCGAGGCAGCGGTGGTGGTTTGAGAAAGCACTTGCGGGGGCTGCACCTTAACCTGCTAGGGGAGAGCAGCGCAATGGAATTGCCGCGTTGGGGTCTCAACGGCACGCGGCGCCTATTCACAGCACGCTCCACATCACACCTGTGCTAGCACGGGCGCAATGCTATTTTAGTACCCCCTTAAATAACCGCCACGGTGAATTAAAACACAAAACAAATGTTATTTTTAATTACATCATATATATACACGTATAAAAAGATTTCACAAACGCAGGTCGGTCAGCTGCACTATGTCCGTCCGTTCGCCCATCGTTGCTCGGAAGGTGACGGACAGCGATGTGCCAACGCTTCCCCTCGGTCGGCGCAACCTCTCGCGAGCTGGGTCATTCCACCGCCACTTCCTCTTTGCTCCTTCTGCTTTCAATGTTTTCCAACGAGGCTACGAGTATAGTAGTTGGGCTCTCTGCGTCCTGAGAAATCTCATTAATCGAGTCCCCTGCACATCACCATTTCAGGATGGGGGGGGGGGGGGTTCTATCTGTGTCCTGGTTTTCCCAAGATCATCCTCTTGACGAGGATGTAGCTGCTGTCCTTGTAAATCTGCAGTCTTCCAGGAAGGACAGTAAGAGTCCAGTTGTCAGCTGCATAATAATACACCACTCAAGACAATGCACTCACGTGCAGTTCTACCTTCTTCCATATATTTCACCATGATGTCCCAAAAAATGTCCAGGTTGTTTTTTTAATCACTTGCATTGACAAGCGAGGTCCTCTTCTGTTTTTTGCAACATCTTTCCGCTCCGTCTTTCCATTACGCGTCCTGGTAGGTTTTTTTAATTTCCAAATTTTGTATTGCAGCATCAGGATGTGGCGATCCTAGGAGGGCGGCAAGCGGGGCACTCCGCCAATCGAGATGCACCCTGCCCACAGCAGGAACCCAGCGGCCGCGAGCATCACCACGAGCAGCCGGGGCAGAGACCGGAGGGCCCGCAGAGCGCGGCAAATGTCGGCCCAGCGGCACCGCCACCCAGACGCCCTCCAGCGCCACGGCGCCGAGCGAACTCTCCACCAGATGGCGGCGCATGGCGAGGGCCTGCGCGGGCCCAGCCACGGGCCCTCGCCCCTCTCCAGCAGGTGGGCCAGGTTGACGTCGCCGCCGCCACCGCCGTCGCCGTCGTCGTCATCGAGCCTGGCAGATGGGCGCGGGGCGTTTAGGATGATTCGTTTCGAAATGAAAAACCCAGCGGCGAAGTTTTTTTTTTCTTCCCCCGGGTTAGATCGCGTAAATGATTAATGTGTCGTTAACCCACCAACACCCGACGCAGCCAATTAGTGAGAGTTGTCAAGTAAACAACACGTGGCAATTCGTGACTACTTCAACACACCGGTGTGTTTGAGAGTAAACCCACACAATTACAAGTTGAGTACCGTGAAGTTTCGTACAGTTATTATAATTAGATAAAACAACAAAAGGGCGGTGGAGGGCAGATCACTTTTTTTTTTGCACAGGGTGCCCATAAAAGGTGTTGAGAATTATTTAGATTCACGACGAGAGGGGGCGCCCCCCACGACCAAACTCGCCCGAAAAGCACCCAATCTCGTTAGATCTCAGAAGCCAACCAGGGTCCCATCCCCCCGAACGTTGGTTCAATGTTGCGCGTTTACTGGGGTTGAGGCTGGATAGTTCTTGGATGGGCGACCAACACGATTAGCACACGTTGGGGGCGCGGGCTCGTTTTAGAGCGCGAGGTTCAACGAAGGTGGCACGATTCACAGACGGGGGAGGGTCTGCCGTAGATTCACGGTGGGGGGGGGGGGGGGAAGTGTTTTCTTTATCCTTTGCGCTAATGTGGGAGTACATTTCAAATTTGGCCCAACAGGTATTGGAGGCTGCTGCGGGGTTACATCGTAGGCAGTCTGAGGGCAGTGCAGCACAATTCAATGTTGTACTGTACTACGGTCCTGTGACACGTCGGACAACATACAGAGTAACATGGGGTTCAAACCAAGAGTGCATTAGAGAGCTCCTCAAAATTGATATTTTGCAGAGAAAATACGTTGAATATTTCAGGACTGCCCCCCCCCCCCAAGCCCACCCGGTAATCTCCACCCCCAAGACATTTCTATAACCCCCTCTGCAGACAGCTGTACACGCATTCAGGGTGGCAGGGTGGCACAGAGGCAACGCTCGCGGCTCACAACAACAAGAGCCCGGCTTCAATTCCCAACTCGGTCCGCTTTCTACGTGTGTGTGTGTGGGGGGGGGGGGGGGTTGCCTGTTCTCTCCCTGTTCTGCATGGATATCCTCTGGGTTCCCCGGTTTTCTCCCAGAGCTAAAATATACCGTAACAATGGAACTGATATTGGGCCAATAAACATCCCAATGCAGAAAATTTACCTGCACGTTAATCTAATTGGGGCTTAAACGAAGCAACGTTGACCCTCCCCCCCCCCCCCCTATACTGCGAAAGCTTTGCAGGAGCCTCTGGGGACTCAGTGATGCTTTCCTGGGTAAAACAAGTGTAATAGTAACAATAATAAACAATGCAATGAGTAAGTGGGCAACTCCACCAAGGCACTTGTCGTCAAGACTTACTCGGTCCGCTCGAAGGAGGGTTCCCTCGGTGAGCACGAGGCGTCTGCTCCTTGCTCCCGGAGCTGCAAAACAAATTTCAGATCGAATGAAAATAACACGTGGCTCCAAAGGCTCTCCACACACACAACTCAAATGCATCTCCTTTTGAATGGGGATAAATAAATAAAAATCACACGCACAAAAAATTACTTCCCCCCCCCCCCATCTCATTTTAAATCATAAAACTAATAATCAGAGCCGTGTCAACACACTGCTGAATGAGTGCCCTCTCCACATATGTGGCAGTCATTTGTTCGACTACAATTCAACATGCTTGTTGATGGTCGATGATAATAATAATGGACTGGCAGACAAGGAATTGAACGTGCAGGAGAGAGAACGTCCAGCGATGAGATGGAGCGGTGAAAACGGTTAGTGTGCAGGTGCCAAATGGACGGTTCGCATCACAACATTGTGAGTGGTGGTGATGGAGGTTTGGTGTAGACCTTCATCCAGCAGTGGATTGACCATGGCTAATTATGATGGAGTATGACGATGATGAATGATGATTTCGACGTTTGGGCCAATACATCACTGATGTTTTTGCCACAGCCAGGATTGAACTCAGGTCAATGGGTTCATCGCCCAGTGCTCTAACAGCTACACCCCCCATCCCCCAGTGGAAATGAGCTTAACGTCTTACTATTTATACCATCCAATGTCAACGTGTGTTGAATCATTACTTTTTCATCTAAAACGATCCCTTTAGTTAAATTTGGCTTAAGAATGGAAATACCAGTAACCGATAACGGAATTGAGCAAGAGTCGAATTGTGCTCCTACTATTGAGACTGTCCACACGTTGAGGTTTCTACCTTGTATTCTCTCTTATTGTGAGAATCAGTGCTTTCGATCGACTAAAAGTGCGGAGAAACAAGGATCTATGACACCGGCGTACTTAAACTATGCAAGTCCATGAATTTGTAGGATTCCATTAGTCTTACCAGCAAAGTAAACACTCCCCCAGCGTCGCTGTTCAACTGCACTGAGGCAGACAGCTCTTCACGAGCCAGGCAATGAGTTGCAACAAAACAACAACCACCGCACGGCCATGTCCCTCTCTGACGCGTTTCGGATCGTGCCATCCAGCACGACGTCCGACGTTTTCGGCTCCATGCACCGGACACAGGTTCTAAACTGATGTTCCTTACAGAACTTCAGTTTGATTGACGCCACGTTCACCGATTTGTTTCTCCAGTTTGAATCCTTCGCGGAAGCTCCCGGGGCAGCGGGGGTGGGAGCGAAACGTCGGAACATCGTGCCGAACGACGCGGTGGTCGTGACCCCGAAAACGGCGTTGTTTATTTCTCGCGACGGTCACGTTCTCGATTTTTATTTCTCAAGAGCCGCGGGTCCCTCGTGCACACCTCCCGCGTGCCGTCTGGCTCGATGACGACAAGCGGCCACCGACTTGGCCCCTCGCCATCGCGGCGCGACAAGTCGAACGGGCGAGGTCGTCTTTCGTAGACGCGCATTCTTTGCTTTGTGTCTCGCGCGATGCGTTTTGCATGCCCGACGAAAACAAAGCCCCCCCCCCCCGTACGTGAACCAGACGGATTAGGAGTCTGTGCCTCGCAATGAAATACCCCGACCCCTTTTACAATATTAATGCAGCCTCGACGAGGGGCTGACGCTCGCACCGTGGCGAGTGGCGCACCCCCCCCGCCTTCCGGAGCATCCCGCGAGTGAACTTCGCACCGCTGTTTCCATGGCCGCCGCCCCAGCCCGGGCCACTGACGTCGGTCGCGCGCGAGCAAAACAAGAGTTGGCACCTCGATCGGCGGCTGTGCCCTTGGAAATGCTACACCAGAGGTCGAGCGATTCTCTGGCAGCGAGACGGAGGGGCTCGCGAGGAGGATTTGGCACGCCCTGGCCGGTCTGTGCAGCCGCGGCAAGCGCAGCTCCCCAAACTCAACTAACCACCCCACCCCCCCAACTGGGTCCCGACAACATGGGCCAACGTGGCCGGTAGATGAAGCCGTGGCCAAGCCCAGGGACAGATTTAAGTTTTGATCGAGGGGCCCTCCGGAGCTGTCATGGTTTTGTGGGGGCCGCCAGTTGTACGTTTATTTAAATGTTTTTTTTACTATTCAACCTACTCTCCCCCTCCACAGTAACACTATGATGTAGATTCATACAGCAGTGTCTAAACAGGACCCGCATCCCAAGGCGCTAGACAGAAACAGAGGGTTGTATTTATCTGGTAGAGAGAGAGGCAGTCCGTTCGATCATACGCAGAGCGACGGAAGGAAGGGCCTCGAACCTGGACTTGAATGGGGGGCAGGGGGCCAACAGCATGGATGTTTGGGGGAACGGAGTTCCATGCACAACCTCCCACTGAGCGATGGTGGAATGAGGGGGGGGGGTTCAACATAAAGACTTGATTGCTGGAGCAGATGGTGGCAGTTAACTATTTTAAACTAAACTATTTTTTTATTTTACCAGGTAAGGCCCACTGAGCTGTATAGCTCTTTTTCAGAAGCAACCTGGCCACAATTGATAGAACGAAGTGGCATATCATCATGTGGACATGTATAGCAGCCAAATACTCTAGACACATACGTCTAAATGTGGAGGGGAAAAACCAGAGGAGCCAGGGAACAATCCACGTGACCACGGGGAAAGAGACATGCAAACTCCAAATATACAGGCGTCAGGGATCGAACTCATGCTCTCCTGCGTACCAGTCGAGGTGGATGGGAAGGGGGTGAGTGAAATGAGGGTGGAGACCAAGGAAGAGGTGAGTCCAGTTTCGATCTTGAAATTTATTTGGGATTGGATTGGGAGCCACTTTTAGGGACTGGAGCATCGGGTTCATTCATGTGGTCTGAATTGCCGGTTGCGGAGTCTTGGCAGCGGGATTCTCTGGATCACGTGGAATTCGGAGAGTTGCGCAATCGTCGAGCGGGCAGGCGATTAAGACGCAGACGAAGGTGTCAGCGGCAGCTGGGGTAAAAGGAATGGCAGATGCGGGAGGTGCTGTGCAGATGGGGGATACGAAGTCCTGCAGAGTTAAGTTGTGTCCGGATAGGGGACGAGAGTTCGGCATCAGAGACGGGTCCAACGTTTCGCAAGCTCTCTTCAAGTGAGTCAGATTTTATGGAGGTGCTCGCTCAAACTGAAGTCTTCAGTGAGAGTGGACTTTTCTTCTCTTTACGAGGGGCTTGCGATCAACGACTGCGCGCCGCATATGGCCGTAGGACGCTCGATGAAATTTATTATCGGCTCGCGTGGTAAACCGACCGGTCTGACTGGTACTAAAAAAGCGTCATTCATTGTGGGTTTTACATTGTGGGGTGCGCGCTGGCTGGGGGGGGGGGAGATGTTGGTTCGGCTTGGCACCTACACAAGTCTGCATTACCCAACCCAACAATAATCACTTGAAAACAAGCTCTCGAAGGTTGTGGATCTAAAGGACGCTTTATAAAACTGTTTTTTATTAACGTCATCTGATCGTTTGACCGTGGCAATTTAACGTGCAAATTGATTAATTTTGTTCATCGTCTTATTTGGCAAATTAGATTTGGTTTAACAGTCATTGCAGCATTGCAGTACTGTATAAAGAAAACAAAAAAAAAACATAAAAGTAACCGTAAGCCATAGCTGCTAATAAGTCATTATTTTTTTTGCAAGAAAAAAATTATTCCGTTTGTTCTGTGTTCATCCATTATCGTCTGAATTGGTAGATTGTGTATCCCATTATTTACATGTCAGGCACGCCAGACAAATGAAACGACTCTGGCTTGTGAGACATCAGATCTTGTGGTATAGAAGTGTAGTGGTGTACACTCTGGGGTTGTAGGCAACACGTTTATTAACAACTTTCCCTCTCAAGGTAACTCTAACGTATACTGGTTCTATAGTTAGGCGTAGCTACGCTGTTAACTATGTGAATAGCGGGTTAACTACACGAACGGGTCAGTCGGCCTAATACGCTGCCTGACCCACGATGCCGAGCGAAGCCCAAAGACCCGGAGATGATGAGACGCGGGACTCCAGGATGATTCCACAGACGAGCCCCGAACCCTGTCCGGGGCTTCCCCTTAATCCCCCCCAGGTCGCGGCTCACCCCGCCCTCGGCCATGCCCTTCTGTATCATGTCGGAAGCTCTCGGCTCCCTGTCACGTGTCCCGCAAGCCTCCTAGGGAGGTTCCAGGCGTCAAGCAGCACTCCTGTGATCGTGGCTGGCGCTAACACTATAGTGACAGCATTAACGTCACTACAGAATCACGCCGCACACAGCAGCTCAAGTTGCTGGGCACACGGCGACGATGCAGAAACGAAGATCTGCCGAGTACCGCACTATAATTTGACAGTTGTGGGTCATGTTGCATTTTGTGTATTAATTCGGTATCGGGGTTCTCCAGTTATTTAAGTCGATTGTCGGCTCGATTACTGGGCTAAGAGGTCAACACGGAGACAACGTTATCTCCGGCGCTCTTCCCATGTGTGCTGCAGGACAGGAACGATTAACGAGGCTCGGTGATGGCATCGGCATTGCATCTTGTGCGGCGCAAAATCCGCGGGGACTTAATCCGGGGTCCACAAAATCAGAAATAAACATCGACCATGTAAAATCCAGACTGACTACATCGAGCTCAACACAGAAATGGAAGCAGACGCCACGGTGGTGAAGCTGCGCGTGGGAAAGGTCAGCACCGGAGGCCAGGAGGCAGACTCGCTGGGACTCTTCAGCAAACTTCGATAGGTTCTAGAATCATTTCTGCTACGAACAAACCGAGCAGAGTTGGATAAACTGAATGCCCCCCCCCCTCGTCCCTTCTCATTTGTAACCGTTCTTAAGTTCTAAACCGTTTTGGGCATTGCTTGAAGGTGATGTTTCCTGCCTTCGGGAGGGCAGGCATGTAAGTGTGGCCGTGTTTTTGTCGGAGGCCTGAGGAAGCGGCCACACAAAAAAGTAGTCGAGTGATCGACTTAGGTCGACGAACCATCGTGGCTCGAATCGTTTCGACTCTTAATCGTTCTAGCTCTCAATGATCTATCTAATGTATTGCGTTTGATTA